CCTCATGGAAATGTATTTTAGCTTTTATCTATATGAAATGCAGAATTGCAGGAGAACCAGTTCTTGCAGTATACCAGCATGAAACTGGGAGTGATAGTTACTGCAGACCTTTGTATTAGTTGGGACCAAAGAGCAAAACTGTTGGTCTGACAAGGCAAGTACTGTAAAGCTAATGAAGCATTGTTCTCATATTCAGAGCCACAAACTACCATGGTTTCTTCTGATTTATTACATATGGATTCCTATTGAATTCACAAGCAGCACTTAGTTTACAGGTATAAAAAAAGGCAACACATGCTTCACAAAACAAGGCATACCCAGAGGAACATGAAACACTCTGACTCATCATCATCCCAGGCACCCAGCTCTGCCCTGCCAGCTACCATTCCCCAGTCCTGTTTTTCATCACAGTATACTGAGCCAAACTGTTCCCTCCTTTGACATCTACCCTGCACAAGACCACCAGTTTCTTCCAAAATGAAAAGACCAAAATAAGATACTTGTCCTTTCCTGTTCTATAACATCCTCTTCCTTTCTTGTTGCAGAAGTTTCTCATGTATGTTCTCATTCAATGCATTCACTTTTCTCTATATTCAATTCCAATCCTTTTCTTTCCAACCTCTCATGTTCTCCTAGATCCTTTACCCGAAAGTACAGATTTGCCATAACCTATCAACCTTAAACTCATTTAATCATAACTGCATTTTCCATTATTCTTCTTCCCTTATTTTCCTTCCAAGATAATGGAACAGGCTTCTTAAAATGTCTGTCTGAAATGTCTTTCATTCCTATCTGTAGACCTTCAATAATAAATTTTTGGTTCAGCACATCATTCATGTTTCCAAAACCCTCTTCCCAAACACAATTATTAAGAAAAAGACACTCAGCCCACACCTTCCTGTACTTAAAACATGTACAGTTGATGCTGTGAAAAAAATGTGAATTGCTATCTATGATTCTACCATAGTGCCCTCTGCTAGTAAGTCTGTGACCTTAAAACTTTTCCTGCACATTATTCTATTATTCTCTAAAATGTCTCTAGCTGCTTCTCTCCTTTGTCATCTCATTTTCTCCCTCTACACTTTATTTCTAGATATTTTAATGTGCAATTAGAGAGGCAGTAATTAAATTCAAGCTGACAGCTCACAGAAGCATTCTGTTCAGTCCACATTAAAACCTTGGCTCCAATTTGTCACCCTGCCCACACACAGTACTTCCCTCTCCCTTCTTGGCTGCTGAGGGGATACCCCCATACTCCTGAGACTTCAGACTGAATTATATCAAATGCATGCTTTTATCACTCATCTCTAACATCACAGTACCCAAACTATTTCTACACAGGAAAACTAATTTACCCTCCCTAAAATACAGCTATTCTTTGTCTACCTATGGGTCAAATAATTTTATTCAGCATGTCACTTGTTGCAAAGTTATTTCTGAGAAATTCAAAACCCAATTCAGCCTCATTTTTTAAGTACTGGTGATTCCCCTAAACCATCACTTGGAGCCTATCACTCCTGTTTTTTCTATCTTTGTAACATGCACTCCCCCTTATTTACCAACCCAAACTGATGCCTGCAATTTGAACGCCTTATCTTGGCTACTTTTAAAAATCCCTTAATGTGAAAAGGCACACCGCTCATTTCCACTTACCTACAACTTTTTTTCAGAATCCATACATTCACTTTTTCCTATGCTAACACTTTGGCCAAGAAGTTTTCTCCTGCATTGCCATCAGTAAAGCATCTCTATTACTTTAAGGTATAAAACAAGCACTGTTCACCAAACTTACTTTTCCCCATTATCCAGGCTACACATACACTGACATTGCTTAGCACTATTGCCATTTCTTTAGGCAGCAAGGTGATTTCTAATTATACCAGCTAGGCAGCCAAGTCCTCCAGTGCTGCCAGGAAGAAAAAGCATTTGATTGGGGAGTGCACAACCTGAGGCACTGCTGTTCCTCCCTCCTTCTCAGCCCTGCACAGTGGCAGAGGTATCCACTCTAAGCCATCACATGAAGCCATCACAATGCAGATTGTTACTGGCAACAGGGCTCCAGGCTCATTTACAGCCAGCTCTTCACCCGAGGCAGGAATTTCACTTAAAAAAAAACCACAATCTCCTCATGAGAGAAACTGAATTCAGATGATAGCCTACCCCTCTCCTGTTCCTGAGTTTCTAAACAAGGAGAAAGAGACAGTGCTTCCCATCTCCCGCTGTCTCAGCCTGACTATAGAGCTACAATCTTAAAGCATCATTACACAAGGTCAATAGATGCTGTGCTTTCAGGAATAGCTACACCTCAGGCACTCAGGCATTTGAAAATAGCAACACTTGTAAACAACTTGCATTCTAGAAATTTCAACTATAAAGTGGAGATTACATCATATCACACAACTGAGTGATGAAAGCAATCAGTAACTGAAGTACTCAGACACCGGACTGGTATCTACCCACAAAAAAAGCCCCACAGCAACTGCAGACCTTGTCTTCTGATCAGGCTTGAATACCATACAGTAAATACAGGGTACATTAATCAAAGAAGAGAAGGTGATAAAGAACCATGGAAATGAACAAGCAGTTTTCATTCACTCCACTGAAGCCAAAGATCCTAGAGAAATACTACATAAAATTTTCTAAAATATTGCTTTGTTGCATTTACATTAGCTTCCAAAACAAAACTGTATCAAAACCATTTTTTTTGTATGATTTTTTTCAATATTGTTCACATGCATGGGAATGCTTGAGACTTTTCCTTTAAAGGCTACATCAAGACTCAGCTTTTCCAACATATGCGTATTACCACGTCCACACTTGGGATTTCACATAAAAGTGCAAATATTCCTATTGCTGTTTGACAAATCTTTTTTTTTTTTTTTTTACCACCCTTTTCATGTTTTCTTATTTTTAGTGAGTTTTGTTTGGAAAATAAACAAAAAACAAAAAACCACAACTAAAACAACCACACAAACCTTCACCAAACTCATCCACTCCAATCCACTGCAGTGTTTTGATAGTCTGGTGACAAAAGCCAAAAGTTCCAAGGCAGTCTGAGCACCCTCACTGCTCCCCAAGCCACGGTGGGCTCAGAGTTGCTGTTGATACACAGCAAAACCTTGGGAGGTCTCTGTGGAGAGCATCTGCTCTAACTACAGCTAATATCCTCTATCTGCACTTGCCCTCAGATATGTTTTTTCTGGAATGGATGACTAGAGGGTTTGACTCAGGAAACAATTGCTAGAACATCTGTACCCAGGCCAAGTATAAATGAGAGAATTTCTGAGGATTTCTCATCCTTAACATCTGAAAACTGTGACCTGAAGCTATTTGAGCCTCACTTCAGCCTATACTATTTCAATTTTGAACTGTAAAAGCAAGAGGCAAATCTTTTGAAAATCTTCCTTCTCATGCCTATCAGCTGCCTCAAGAATGTAAACATTTTAAAAAATTACAGAATTTGTAAGATAGAGATGGAAGAAAAAAAGTTTTTGCCTTTTGCTGGACTAGCACAAGTTTGATAAAGTGTCTGCTAGGAGAAAGGTTCAACCAAAACTTTCACACATTAGCAAATACATACTTTTAATTTGGGGACAGGATCAGCAGCCAGACTAGAATGCTTTATAGAAATACACCCCCTCTAAACCCAACAAGCATCTCTATCCTAGAGGGTGAGATTAAAAGCATGTAAAATAGCAGAGTACTTAGACACTAAGATAAGTTTTGAACAGAATTTAAAAGACCCATCTCAATCAAGGAGTGATGGGTGGCTTCAAAGAGCAAATAACATGGCTCCCTAAAACTAAAAATTCTTGCTCAAGGATATACTAACTTGCCTGTACAAGCAAATATATGACTCAGCCTGTACATCCAGAAAGTTTCCTTGCTTTACTCAAGCACATTAGCACAAACATACAAGCTGAGCAGGAGTATTAACTGGAGAGGAGTAAGTCAATCCAAAATCATCCATGACTTTTTTGACCAGACTGCTTCATGACCATCAGCATGACTGTTCCCACCCCAGCTTCAGAAAAACTATCCCACAATAGCATTCCAAGAAATCCATCAGGTGCTCAGAGACAATAATATGAAAAGTATATTGAAAGAAACAGATACAGCAAAAGCCAGAGGGGAAAAAAGTCATCATCTAAATTCATTATGACTGTAAACATTTTTTTTAAAAAGAGTGAGTTACACATATTAAGCTTATTCTCAAATATATCTAAGACTTCCCTTCATCATTTTCACAAATTTGTTGGAGCCCCCTTTCAGCCACAAGTCTGTGAGAAATCTTCCCCAACTGTGTACAAAGTAAAACCATCCAACACAGTAGGTTTCCAAAATCTCACATCTATTTGGCTCTTCTGAAGACTTTGCTAGCACTACTAGATTCTTTGGAGAAAAAAGGAACACATGTTTATTGCTTTTTAGATTATCTCATCAGATATATCTAAAGGCATGTCACAAATGCACACAGCCTCCTAGCAGTTATCTCAACAGCTTTAAATGCTTGGGCACCAATCCAGAAAGATCACCTCATAAACCAGGCAAACAATTACCACTCACTTGATTAATCTTTTCTCATCCTTCTGAACTCTGACCTGAATTTCAGATACCTTCTTTGTGGAAACTGAGGGTATCACAAGCTTAAGGGTTTATTTTTCACCTTAATTTCAATTCTCCCCAGAGCAGTAAGATGTGTTACTGGCAAGTTTATATTTGTAAGATGCTTTGACTATGGGAAATGACATTAATCCTGTTATGTCACTCAGACACCACTTTTGCAGTGCTTTAGGTTGATTCAAAAAGGAAGATGAGTGACTATTACCACATCACTCCAACACCAACAGGCTTTACTAGTTTTTTTCTTATCCTTTTCTTACCCTTCTCCCCTTCCATGCTCACCACTTCCCATCACCACTGCAGTAACTTAGACAGTTTCTTAAGGACAGAATTAAAGAGAATTAAATGCTTTAGTAAATGCAATTAAAGTATCTTACCAATGCAGGCCATTGAATTTGTTTGATTTTTGATCCCTGAGTCTGGCTTGGGTCCTTTCTTTTTGCCCAGACCAGCTGGTACTCCACCAAGAAGGCTGCAAAATCTTCATAAACTTTAACCCATTCTCGCTTTTCCCATTCAAGGTCATCAAATTCCACATACACCTGGGGAAATTGAAGAAAGAAAGGACATACATTATTGCCTATACACAGCATGTGTTCATCTACATGCACTTTTTAATGTATACATTAAAAAACTGAATGCAAGATCTTTTTTATTACCCATTTTAATGCTATGGTTTTGAAATTATATATTCAGTTCCTACACCACAGAAGACAGTTTTCTTGGCAGTGCATTTGTGGTTAAGAGAGGAGAGTCACTAAAATATCTCCACTAACATTGGGTGTCTTATCTCATGAACAACAAGCATTACACTAAGTATTTAATAATAGCATTCAAGTAATACATACAGCTATCTACATAATCACTAAGTTTTATGAATACTTCTCATTTTCAGTTCAAATATATGTCATGTAATACAAACCAACTAACCAGTAACATAGTTTTAAGGGAAAAAGAAGTCAATTAGAAGAGCACCAGAAAGGACATCCTGAGCCTGCAGACCTGGCTACTACAAGCAAGTCCAGCACACAGCACCTCACAGAAGCAGCTCAGTTTCCTCCTGCAATTTGGCTCAAAAACCAAACCAAACAAGAAACAATACCACCACGTTTTGCTTCCAGCTAGGTTAACGTGGAACCAGTTTGTAACTATTTGATCTTGTGCTATCTCAATATAGAACAGCTGTACCTTCTCCCCTCAGCTGCATCCACTAAACCACTAAGTTAAGTACACCACACCTTTTGTCTCCTCTTGTGCGGAGCAGAGGGATCTCAGAGCTATCCAAAAGCTATCTGCATATCTCTGCTAAACCCATTACATTTCAAAATTAAAGACTTCATTTTAAAGTTAAAAATAACTCAAAGTAGTAAGCTGTTCTCTTTTCACAATGCGAAATCTTAAGAAAAAAGCAGCTGGTAAAATACAAAAAATGCCACTGCTTGTTACACTAAATGGAGAAGGGAAGATGCTTTCCTACACCTCTGAACTTCAGCCTCAGCCACACCCAAGGCAATTTCCAAAACTGGAGTTTCTTCCTGTATCTGCTTCTGAGAACTAAAAATCACTGTCACAGAAATATTCTTCTCTTTTAGATCTGGTTAATTTTAGGCCTACAACATACTTCCTTGTCTAGACTTTCTGTCTCACACTATCAAACGTGTACTACAGAGTGTTCCTTCTCATCTTGTCCTTCTGCCTTCTCAGTGCACAACTTCAATTTTCACCAAGCCACTTCTCACTCACCCAAGTTCATCATCCCAGTTTTCCCCACAGATACTTTTGACCCATATTACTCCCACTTCATTCCCACACACTTTCCTCTTCCCTTTCTTCTTTCAAGCATCAGATCAAGAAGATCCTCTCACCTCCACTGTTCATCACTACAGCAATTGCTTCTTCTTTTAACAAAGCAAGTAGAAAACAGCAGCAAAAACTGTTACCACTAAAAAACCCCCACTTTTTAATGATTTCATTTCTAGAGACTAATTCTAAAATCTGTAATAAAGTTGCAGAATATTCATTTCTTAATCAAAAGAGTTAAGAGGAACAGTAAACAGAGTAAAACTGTAAAACACTGACAGGCAAGCACATCATATCCCAAATCATTTTGGCAGCATTAATTATCTTGTATTTGCAGCTATTTTGAAGCCTTCTGGAGAACCATTTATTTGTAAAATTTGTCATTTGATCAATTCTAAAGACAATCCTCAGTGACCATACAGTTAAAAATCACTCTCTAAAATTCACCTCCTTCCTGCAAATTTCACTCAATTATTTCAGACTGCTCAAGTAACTTTGGTTTAGTATCTGCAAAGACACTTCACCTGGGTAGTCTGTAGCAAAGTGTGAAGAGGTTAAGCAGCAGACCTCACACAGCAGCACATTAGCAAAAAAAAAAAATAGGAGGCAAGGAGAACCAAATGAATAAATATTTTTGAAAAACACAGATAAGTCTAAAGCAGAGTTAGCAGTTTAGAAACAGCCACACAAAAACATACTGTATCTTCTGGCCACTGGCCAAAGCTTGTGGATAGCTGCGATACAATCTAGTGTTTGTGTGCAAGTTTTGCACCCCAAATAAACCAAAATTCAGCACAGCGACAGTGGGAGTTACTGCTGAGCTATCTGCAGAGTCTCCTGGCACCATATAATTAGATCTTCAAAGGAGCAGTTCCAAGAAAAGTGGAGAATGGAGCATGGCACAGAGCCAGTCTGCCATGGCTCAGGGCACCATATTCCGCCTCTAGTTGCACACACAATCCTTGGGAATCTCTTCTGCCAGCTTCCACCACTTGCAGGTTTCCATGCCAAGCCTATTAACTATCTGCTGGCTTTTTAAAGTTGATTTTTGAAAAGCAGAAGCAAGAGAGACAAAATGAAGCGCCCAGTTCATTGCCCATTCTCTGTTTGGCTGGGAAATGAATTTTTCTAAGGCAACAGTAAAGGCTCTGAAGAATAGAGGCTTCCCCTTGCTGTGCACACTGACCTCCCACACAGAGACGAGCACTATCTCAAACAGCACAGTTTATGAAAGGGAGTAAAAAGGGAAAAAGATGAGGAAAGGAAGCAATCCAGCAACCTACGCCAACAAAATAAAAGAGAGAGCCAAAGTTAGACCCTCTAAGGAGTGCAAAGCCTAAAAATATTTCATCTTTTTTGCTCCACTGACAGAACACTATACAGCAAGAAACTCTATGACATTTGCCTCCCTAAGAATGAATGTTGATTTGGAGATTTTTCAGCCAAATTTTGCTTCATTGCCTTGTCAGCTATTTGTGGATAGATATTATATGTTTGTGTTCCCAGAGCAGCTGAAGCCTTCTCACCACGTATACATTCTCTTGAATAAAAAGGAGAAATTCCCACTGGGATGATATTATATTTATAATTGGCATTAATGTGCTAATTTTGTAACTCACTGCTATCTTCCAACAGGAAGCAGCATAAGCTTTAGCATGCTTTTCCAAGTAAAGCAAGACAACAAATTTATTTCCAATGGAGTCAGCCAAGCAATTGCAACAAAATATTGTTATTTCTAAGCCCAAACACAACAACCATGGTGAAATCCTCTACATGCAGAACTGTAATCGAGAGTTTTCCAGTCATTTCTGCTCCAAATAAATATGCCTGACAAAATAAACTTTGAAACCCTTTAGAACTGGCACAAAAGCAATGCTGACTTCAAAAAAATTTGACTTAAAATGTTAAAAAGCATAGTCCATGCATCATCCACTTCATTAAAACTCCTTGAGTGCATTGTTATCCAAGTTCTGTTTGCCCTCCTAAGGGAAGAGAGCACAATTTCCCCTTGATCACCTAATGATTGTTAGCAAAAGGTTTATTTCTAGGAAGAAAAAAATCCAAGCAACCTCTCTGAGCATGTTTTCAGTAGAGGCAAGAAAACACTACTTTATACAATATTAAATGGTTTTTCTTCAACACCAGTTTGGCTGCTGACTGCAAGGTGAGCCTCAGAGTGCATCCCCCTGGGTTTCCCTTGTAACACTTTTCTATTACAACAGATAGAATATTGTGCCATGATCAATTATTACACATATATACTTCATTAAAAAATTGTAAGTCTTGAAAACTGCAGACTCAGATGCTAAAAATTATCTGTGCAATTCAAATGTCTTAGTTATGCAACTTAAGATAGACCTCTTAGTATGTAATCAAGATTCAAAAACTAGCTGTCAAATTTCCAACCTTGTGATGTATAGCCAAGTGAACACACAAATGCAAATCTAGTATGTAATTGAACAGAAATGTATTTAAAACCACAACATTTTACTTAAAAACGCACACCACAATTTCCAGCGATTGTACCATCATCAAAGGAAAATAAAAATTTTCGATTTGACAGAAGTTATACAAAGTTATCCAAAATAACTAGAAACTTCATTACAAGATGTCACTGCAAAATTCAAAATACAATCCAAATTAGTTCTTCCCTTTCCATATTCCCCAATGTTAAGCGTAACCTGCACATTTTCATTCTGGGGAACAAGCATTCTATGGGATATTTAAGAAAGGTTTATTCTCGGCCCAGTAACAAGGGTTCTGGGAGTTCCTTGGTTTTGAAAGAAAATCTTCCTGCAGGAAAGCAAAGCCAGGCAGCCAAGGGAGCAGGCAGAGCCTCCTGCTGCTGCCACAGAGGTGGAGGGAGGCAGTGAGTCCGTGGGTACCACACTGAGCCACCTGTGGCAATGATGGGGTGTGAAATTGCCAGGATTGCTCCTGGAATTCTGAGCCCCTGACAACTCTTGCCCCTTGGTGTGATCCCCAGCATGGTACACAGCTGAGAATTAAAAAAACTACACTAGACTCTGGAAAAGTTCTCCATGTCCTGATGGAGATGGATGTGATTGCCAAACACCCAGCTGGTACAAACTAAGGCTAGTTCAAGTACAGAGGGAATGGAGACAGTAAGGGTGCTTTTATAAAACTTAATCTTCCCATCCTGTTCCCAAGATCCTCGACTTCTCAGGTTTTTACAAATTGTTTCTTTCATGGAGATGGCATTACCCAGCAGTTAAGTCTTTCTAAATATATCTACACCTAATCAAATGCAATCAAAGCACAAGTTACTATAAAGCAAAACAGCTTAACACAGGAAAATTATTACTCTTTTATGCAAGTGCTACCCATTTCCACATGGAAAAGTGGTCTAATAGCAACCAAAGGCAGCAGTCAGGACTTTTCTTTAATAAAGGGCTTCAATGTTGCTTTTTGTTACCAAAATTTCCTCAATCTTTCACATTAGTATTTCACAGTCACTCTACAATAAAAAAAACTCATAAAAAGCATTTTAAAGTACACTGGCATTCTCCATATAGCCTAAAAGCAACTGCAACAGCTGAAATAATAGCAATAGATTGGTCTTTAACTAGCAAATATTTTAGTATTAAAAGATGGGGTTTACTGCCTCCATATATTCTTTAAAATAGGCAGCATTTTTACTGCAGATTAGATGTGTTTGTACACTTATATTTGCAGTCAAGAAAGTAGCTAGTTTTGACAAAAAGTACTAAATGTACCATGT